ACTGAGGTAAGGCTGACCAAGACTCATTTGTCCATGTATCTGTAAGACTACCAGACCCTACTGAATATCAAGCTGAAGTTGGATGCAGAGGTTGCAGTCTACAGGAAATTCCTGGAGAAGGAGGAGCAGCAGCAGAGACTGGATATTCCTGCTGACTGTGGTGGTAGGTCCCATTAGAAATAAGATACCTATGAATAAGATCCTGGAAAGTATTTAATGTATTCCCTAATAAGAGAAATAATCACCCAGCACAAGAAATTAGGTACTCATTTGTTACATTAGGACTATTCACATCAACAAGTTTTGCAGCCTAAAAGTAACACTATTGTGGAATAGTTTGCCTTAGATATATAGACGTGGAAGAAACTTTCCACAACTCAACTGCCCAAAACTGAGTGCACCCAAGGACACACCCCAACTTGATCTCTGTCCTCAGTGTCAGAGCTGTGTTTTTAAACCATTGTTTACATATTATGTTTTGTATAGTGTCTGGAGCTCTTTGGCAAATAGGCCCCAGGCAGAAACAATTTATGAGGAATTCTTTTACAGTGTATTCTACTGTACAGATGCCCTGTGGTGCAAAGGATATGACCAGGCAAGACAATTTTTCAGGAAACACTGCTTTATAATCATTTAATGGCCAAAGTAACCAAACAAACTCCACCTCAAGAGCCTGAAGGACAGAGAGCAAATATAATACAGTATATTGTCAGTATAGTGTTGTACATGCATTATAATATCAGTGTAACAAGCAACAGTTTGAAACCTCCTGAATCTGGCATGCAGGATCTGTGAAAGAGGACAACCTAAGGAAGTTATATGAATATGCTCACATTACAAGCTGCTTTTCAAGTATGTGTATAGTCAACCCTAATGTGAGAATATATAATGTATGTATAGCCTGCCCTGGAATGGTAATAAAGAGGACATGAATTTTAATTCCTACTGTGCTACTTGCTTGGTGAGTGGCACTGGACAAGTCATTTCTACACTGTTTCCTCATTTGTAAAATGAGGATATTTACTAGCCTCTATCACAGAGTGTTCTGGGGATTGTTTAATGTCTGTACAGTGCTCTGTACATGTAAAGTGCCATATATACGTTGTGCTATGATTAGTGACAAGTTTATAATATTAGAATTATATTTGTCTTAAATACTGACAGCAGGCACAATTTTAAAAAGCACATAAGTTAATTTTACCCAGTATTGTCTCAGAGGAAAAGGTCTGCTTGACAGTTCTTCACACAAGCCCCATAATCTTTCCATATTCTTTTCCCAGCTCCAGCAAATTATGCCCTTTCTCCCAAACACCATGATGCCAATCTATTTACATATGCACTTCCTTTATTTCCCCTTCTACTCCAGCTTCACAACCCTTTCCATGCCATTGGCACAATCCATTTTTACCCCATCCTTCCCATCCCTTCTTCGGTATAGATTAGTTATTCCTTGGGGAATTCTGTGCCCCAAAATTAAAAATTCTGCGCCAAAAAAATTAAAATTCTCCATCCAGGGAAGGAGCAGTGAGGGCTAAGAGAGGAAAGCCCAGAACTACTGAGGTGAGGGTCCCTGGACTGGAACCTGGAGTAGAGGGCAGGTCTGGGTTCTCCTACCAGCCACTGAAGGAGTGGCACCAAGGCAGTGGAAGGGACTGCGCTACCCCGAAAGGGGGGGGGAACACTGAATGACCTGACCAGAGGGCCGAGTCACAAAGAGGTTCCTGGGGTGACAGAGGAGCTGCAGATGCGAGTGTGGGGATGTTGATCTCAAGAGCTAATCCTCAAGAGTGACCAGGAGGAAGTGCCAGACCAGCAGTGAGTGGTGCACCCTGTAACAAGAAAGCCTAGTAATAACAGAATAGCAAGTTAGTATGAAAATATTGTTCATTTTTAATTTTTTGCTGTCTTATTAAAAACAAGACATTTTGTAAGATCAGGAGGATACAAAAAAGGAGAATTTCCATGATGCATCTGGTGGAAACACAAACCTGTACATCAACCGCTTAAAATGTCTCCGAAGACTGCAGCCATCCTCGTTGGTTCTTGGAATGGCTAACTAAACATTTGTCACTGGGAAAAAAGTGCAAAACTATTTCAGATCAGGAAATCTTCATCTTTTATGCAGCATGAGTGCATGTACATATTATGCACTGGCTTTTTAACACCAAATAAATCTGTTTTTAAAAGCAGAGAAATTGATGCATCATTATGCTACTTACTCATCAGTTATATTGCAACATTAATTTTGAGATTTAGTAAAAATTAACTTTCCCAAATAAGGTGACATCTCTTTTGTATCAGAAATCTTGATATGCAAAAAAGTCTCATTTTGCAAAAATGAAGTATGGTTTTCTTGGAGTTAAAGGGAAAATTTAAATATCAGCACAGTTTTTCATTTGTACCCTCATATTTCAGGGTCTATTGGTGCTTTCATTGTAAATATAATTCGAGAAGGTAAGAAGCAAACATTGTGGCTAGTTTGAGGCAGCTTAGTATAAATTTTGTATCTGGATTGATTGGAGTTACATTATTTTTCAAGAAAAAGTTAAAAAGTCAAATCCACCATATTTCATTCAGAAATTGGCCAAACTATAAAATGACAGCTTTCTAGAACTCTGTTTAAAAATGGACATGTGATTCCATTTCTAATTTGAATGTACATTGTACACCTACGCAATCACAGACAGGGCCGGCTCTAGGTTTTTTGCCATCCCAAGCAAAAAAATGTTGGCTGCCCCCTATCCCAGCCCTAGGCTCCTCACCGCACCCCCCTGCCACCCCAGCCCTGGGCTCTCCCCCACCACTTGCACCCCCCTGCCGCCCCAGCTCTGGGCTCCCCCCATCCCACCATTGCCCCCTCCACACACACCTCCTGCCGCCCCAGCCCTGGGCTCCCCCCATCCCACCATTGCCCCCTCCACACACACCTCCTG